GAAAGGAATGGGTTTGTGCCTTTTTTTTCCTTCTCTGAAGATCTGGAGAAGGGTTTGGTTTCGTTGGGGGGGTCCGCTATAAATGTAAATCTTTTTTTTCAGAGCTGGAATGTATTATGCCTAGAAGATAAAGGGCAACTGTTTCTCGTAGGAGAGACATTTTCAGCTAGCATAAAGGAGAAAAAGAGAACTCGATTTGTACTTTTAAAAGTGCCCTTTTGCTTTTCAGAGTTGTTTTTCCCTCAGAATTTTTTCATTATATTAATTAATGAATTAGAAGCTCTTTCTTGAGAGTATGTTTTCATGTATAAGGTGCCCTGGCCTTTTCTAATACACCACAAAGTAGGTATCTCTACTGCAAGATTCTGCTTTTTTCTTGGCTTTTTCCCTTGACTCTCTCAAGTCTGTGACTTGCTTTTGGGATGTGACAAGATTGGTAGAATGCTGGTGTGCAGTCCTTGAAATAGCACTGCCCAAAGTATATCTGAAGCATATGAATAGATAAGTTCCTTGAAACTGTGATGTGCGTTGTGTGTGAGAAATTGCCTGTAGGCTGTAGTCTTGCGTTCCCTTTTTTCTGCGTAAGGTTAATGGGCAAGCTCAAGTCATAGCTTATAGAGTCAAGCTTTAATTTCTTTGGTAGACTCTGTTACAACTTAAATCTGGTGTTTCGTGCATAGTATTAGATTTGTACCTATTGTTTTTCTTTCTTCTTCTCTTTTGTTTAAAAAAACCACCAAAACAAACTTCCATTTAAAGGCTAGTATTCTCACTTTCTACTACTCTGAATTAGATTTGGCCCCTTTGCTTCCTCTGCTTTCTCTTCCAGATAGGGCTGTTAAACTGCTGGGAAGAAATATTCCCTCAATTCTGAGGATGACTAAAGGAATGGATCCGAAGATAAGCAGAAGGCTTTGCATCAAACCCCAGGAAGAAAGTCAACTTCAGCCAAGAAGTAAGTTTTTGATAACGATCATGCTATGTTTCATGCCACGAAATATTTAGATGTCCAGGCTGCAATCATGTGAACAGGAATTTGGCTGACATAGATGCTAATATCCCTGATTTTGTGAGAGGGAATAATATTCTTTAGACTAAAAAACTGAGCATTAAATTTAGCAATAAAATCTTGTTTTTTAACAAAGTCAGGGGTCAATATTTCCTCTTGTGACAATAACACAGCTTTCACTTTGTAGCAGGTCACTAGTATCTTATCTGACGTGCAGTCCTACACTGAGGCTCTTCAGCTGCGCCCTAGAACTGACTGTTCAACCCCCATGTAAACTATTGATGTTTAGGAATGTCGTACAAGCTAAAATACTTTTGCATTTTTTCATAGTACAACCAGCTCCAGCTGTTCACAAAATTGAACGTGCCCTGCAGGAGAGAGTCAGTCTGAATCATTGGCTTAGTTCATGTTTAAAGGTAGAGTTGTTCAGGTAAAGCTCAGGACATGAAACATTTTTTCACTATATATGGGACAGTTATGATGCTCTAATCAGACTTCCTGTATAAAAGGTTCCCTTCACGGCCTATTGATGCTAGATAAAAGGAGCATACAGATGTGAAGCATTTTGCATATTTCTGCGGTAAAAACATAATGTAGCTGTACTGGGTAAGACCAAAGATCTCCTTAACAGTGTCATGTCTCCTGTAGTGGCCGGTAAAGGAGGTCCCTTACATTTTTGTGAAGGCTAATAGGAATGGTGGCCGATAGCAAAGATCTAAGGAAGAGTGTAGAAACAGGGCAAACATAGTGTTTCTCCCTAGACTGCTGTCCCAGGGGTGGCATCTTTGTGTTTAATCGTCCTCACTGGATTTTTCTTTCATAAATTTGCCCAGTCTTTTGAAGCTGGATGTATTTTTAGCATCCACATCCTCTGGGAAGGAATTCCTCAGCTGAAACATGCTGTGAGAAAACAAGTACAGTCTTGTATTTGTTTTTGAACCTGGTGCGTGCTATTTTCAATCTGATGTTCCTTTATTCAATACCCCTTCCAAAACAGGATCTGTTCGTTATAACCCACACTCCCAATGAATGTCACTTAAGATTCTCCTGCCCTCTGTTGTGCTGAAGGGAGCTTCAATTACTGCTTTTCCAGGCCAAAGGTCTCAGTCTATGATACTGTTTCTTATATGGTGGCCATTCCATACCTGTGGTCATCCTTACCAATTTTCTCTGCACCCGTTCTATTTCAACTGCTTCTGAGATGAGGGATCAGTATTTCACATGCTTTTCAAAATGCTGGAGTCGTGGTTTTATACAATGGCATAATAATGCTTTTGTGTTGGTTTGTGTTCCTAATCACTGCTAGTAATCACAGAATCATAGAATAGTTTGGGTTGGAAGGGACCTCTAAAGGTCATCCAGTCCAACCCCCCTGCCATGGGCAGGGACATCTTCAACTAGATCAGGTTGCTCAGAGCCCCGTCCAACCTGACCCTGAATGTTTCCAGGGATGGGGCATCCACCACCTCTCTGGGCAACCTGTTCCAGTGCTTCACCACCCTCAGCGTAAAAAATTTCTTCCTTATATCTAGTCTAAATCTACCTTCTTTTAGTTTAAAACCATTACCCCTTGTCCTGTCACTACAGGCCCTACTAAAGAGTTTGTCCCCATCTTTCTTATAAGCCCCCTTACTATTGACTATGACTATTACTGAACATTTTGCCAAAAGCTGTGAATCCCCAAGGACTTACTCCTCAGCAGTAGTGGTTAGGTTATAGTCTGTCTTCTGCATGTGAACTGGAATTGCTCCCTGTTTATATACATGGGGCTTCACTGGCAATCTCATTGACTCAGGATTCTGAAGCCCTGCAGCTCTTCACGCTTAGCCCTCTTCTTTATGCTTCTGAATAACTTCGTGTTGTCAGCAAACTGTCTATCCACCCTACTTCCTAGATAATTCATGAATCCACGAGGCAGCACAGAGCCATACAGGACACCTCCCATTATTGGGCTAGTGTTTTGTTTTGTTTCGTTTTTTTAGAAAAAGGAGGTGGGGGGTGGGAAAGCTGTCTATCTTTGCACTTTCTTTGCTAGATTTTAATGGTATGTTATGTATGGAAACCTTCCCGTATTACATTCTGAATACTTTTTTATATGGAGTTTGAAAGACTGAGCTGAAAATTAAGGGTCTAATCTTTGCCTATGGTCATCTGTTTGTTTATACCTCCAGATAAGATAAAACCTTACACTCCCTGGAAAAGTTAACATTCTGTGATGCAATGGTGTGGCATATTGGCTTTTCTGTAGCAGTTCCATTTGATTTTTTTTTTTTTAAACTAATTTAAATGTAACAGGAAAACTGTAATATCACAGCATCTTAGGAAGCTTAAATGCTGGAGCAGGTTCCGCAAATTTAGAGCTACAAATATAGAGGTCTTGGGCAAGATTTGGCTTTTCCTTACATGGCCTCAGTTTAATCCACTTTTACAGGTTTGTTAATCTGACTGTGATATACTTTTTGTTCCCTAACCAACTCCAGCAACCATACTTAAAATTCTGCATTGCTCACCCTAACTGGTTTCATTACAGCTGTGGGAATTCATCTTCTCTGACTGTTGGTTTTGGTGGGGGTTTTTTTGTTTTTCTTTGTTTGTGTGTTTGGGGTTGTGTTTTGTGGTTTGTTTTTTTTTTTTAGGTCGGACTCCTTTGAGGGTGCCTGGACACAAGCCTACAGACTGGGAGAAAAGGTTTTTGTTGTGGGCAGGCCATTTCAAAAAACCAGAGGATATACCAGAGACTGTCTCGTAAGTGCCAGTTTTGAAGCTGTAAAAGAAACATTGTCTATGCAGGAATAAGTTACTTGAACGCAACTCCAGAATAACTTTTAAATGGAATGGGTTTTCACAGCTGAAAAATCTTACACTGCTGTGTTTGGTGTATCATCTTGTAGATGAGATGACCTGAGCAATTCTGTATTGCTGAGATAATACATCCCTTTTGATTTTTTTCTGAAGGGATGACCAGCATCTGTCAGATGTTTCATTAGAAAAACATGACAAATCAGTTAATTTTTACTCTTCTCTCCCTATCAAAAAAGCTTTTTGCAAATATTAGTATGAGCTTTTTCTAGTGTTTTTCTTTATATGTCAGTCTCCCATTGTGTGAAACTTTCATCATATAGGTATAAAATAACTGAAACTCATTTAAAATATTTATTCATGAATGTCTGGAGGGCATGGGCCAACTTTCTTTACCCTTGGAATTTAAACTAACAAACAGTGGAAAGGCTCCGTAACAAAAAAAATACATATAGTCAAAATTCCCCTGTTGCTGGTGGAATCCAAATGTCAATGCTTTGCCCTGTGTGAAAAGTAGAAAATAAAACTGGATGTATGAAGATCAAACTTAACAATAACAAAAGGCAATTACTAGTTTAAAAAACATTCCTGGTAAGTATGGTTATCTTTTAAAACATGCTTGTAATGCTTTCAAATATATGTATTTATTTAAATTAAAAAGATACAGTAAATCTTTGTAAATCTTACTGCTTGGGTAAGCAAACTATGTAGCTGCCCTCTAAAGATATTCTATTTGTTTGGATGCACAGTATGGGAATTGAAAATCCACCCATGTATCTAAGTTTTTTCTAAATGTATCACAATGGATAAATATTGTTTAAAAAATTAATTCTTCAATTTTGTTTTGAATCATTTTTCTTAAAATTACATTTGAAATACATAAAGGCATAAATTATTAAATTATGTCAGTTCATATATTTTTGCATACCAAACACTTGTTGTGAGTGTTTTTAAGAAAACAGTTAGCAGAGTGATTGAAGTCATTTCAGTGGTTTATTGAAAGGACAAACCAACTTCTGATAAAAGCTGACCATTTTTGCAAGTGCATAGGGAATTCTTGTTTTTATTTAGGCAAATAGTTCAGCCAAAGCTGAGCAGACAATTGAGAACTATAAAAGCACAAAAGCTTGTTTTCCTGCTCTAAGCTGAATTAAGAGTGGGTTGTAAGGGCTTGTGATATAACTCAGTAATCTTGCAAGATGTGGTGATCAGAAGTAACTCATTTATTAAACAAATGTTCATCTTAGCCACTGAATTAAAATGCAAATTGCGTTCAGATAACTACCTTTTCCTCTGGTATTTTCTAACACATCCAAGGTACTTCAAAAATTAACTAATAAAGTTTTAAAATCCTACTTCTGTGCATTTCAGCTTGATTGCAGGCTGCGCCCAAGTTGTTCATCGCAGATTGTTAGCAAAAACAAATAACCTGGAAGCAAAATTTAACTATTAGTTTCATGCTAGATGGACACGTTCCCTATGTTCAGAAGTGTTGTACTCAGATCAATACTCTGAAACAGTGATCAAATCACTCTTGCCCTCCTCTTCAAAAACAAGAACAAAACTCTCTTCAGTTCTCGGGTCCTATGTGATTTACTATGTTGAACTATCGTGGATCCTTTGTTTTTTTTCCTCCAAGTATAAGGGTCAAAATGTGGTAAAAGATTCCATATTCGCTCATGTTTGTGTATGGTGATAATTTCCCAGTTCCATTAAATCCACTATCCATGTTAGTTTTGGGGTATAATTACCTAGTTTGATGCATTTATTCTTTCATCACATGATGCTGATGCTTTTCCAGTCATCTGTAATTTTATAATACGCCAAATTTAATCAGTAAGACTATTAGATCTCCTTGAGAAGGGAGTCAACTGCTCTAAATTCTGCAAGGAGAGTTAAATATATAGGGTATAGGTCTTTGGTTATTGTGGAAAGCACATCTAAAAGCATTATGCTTCACTGGCCCTTGCACTGGTATCTCTAATACAAACTTTACATTTGCTGTAACTGAGATGTCATTTGGAAAGAATGATCTTCAAGGGTTTAACCCAACTTACAATAAATGACTTTTTGTTTTAACTCATCACATGTCCACCTGGAAGGATACAGTGATACTCTTCTTGTGGAAGAGTTCTGGTTTTTAAAAGATAACAGTAGACTAGGCAATAGGTTTCCCAAAGGAGTGGTATAGCTACTGGTGTGGCTAGATAAGCCCCCTGAAATAAAATAAAATTTAAAAAAAAAAAAAAATTAAAGGAGTCCTCTGTCCAAAGCTGATGTTGGAAAGCTTACAAGCATCCATGCCTCCTTAGTTTCTTAGGAAAACAGATTACCTTAAGAGTATTTACTCTAGCAGGAGGGAAGTGGTAGCCACTGGTCTTTCACCAAGTCCTGTTCAGAATTTCGGAGGAGTATTACATTCAGCAGCCAGTGTGTAATCTAATAGCACTATCAAATCCTGTCGCAGAGGATCATTAGTAAATGCATCCCTCTCCTTTTCCTGTTCTCCCCATAGTGAATGTACATATTTAAATACTGCAGCCTTCCTCCTCTGCGTTGCAGTCAAGTGGTCTAGAAAGGCAGCATTGTCTCTTAACAATTAAATAACCGAAAGTTAAAAATGTTGGGTTTGTTTCCAGCTTTGAGAGGAACTCCTTTGTGACCAAGTACCTCCCAAGGTAGGTGAGGATCAGCCTTTCCCATTCTTGTAAAACCTTTTTGTGAAAAGAGCCAAGTACGGTTAGCGTTATACCAAGATTACATAGATAGCATGCCAGGAGAAATCAAACAATTAGCCAGATGGTTTATTTGGGTCTCTGATAATGAGTCTGTTCTTTTATTATTATTTCTTGAGGATTGAAACAATCAGAGCAGCAAAGACCACACTGCGTGTGAAGTTCAGCTATGTAATGATTGCCTTGACAATACTGGGATGCATAGTCATGGTGATTAAAGGGAAGCAGGTAAGCACGGATTTTTGGCTGGTAGGCGTGAATCAATCTTCACATAAACTCCTCAGTTCCTCCTATGGATTGTTAGTACTATTTTGTTTTGTTGGTTTTGGGTTTTTTTTCATTTTATCACTAAGCAAAAATTAAGTCCTCCTAGTTCCCCAGAAGTGACCCTCACTGATTAACTTCCAAGTCAGAAAAGGGTGACGTCACTGTTAGACTGCATATGCTTCCTTTAGAAGGAAAAAAAAAAAGTCTTTTTTTTTTTTCAGTGCAATACTTAATTTTAGCTTGCGCTGTTTTAACTCTTTAATTTTGCTGATGGGCTGCGAGAGTTTGAAAGGAAGGAGCACTTTCTGTTGTGAGGATCTGGTAGGCAGGTAAATGCTCCTTGGACCAATGAGGTCCATACAGTTCACTGGATGGACCTATTACAAGTGCCTCTCTACATGCTGCGACGCTCGTAGAATCAATATAATGGAAATAGCAAATGAGTATGTTTCTCCACAAACACACTTGAGAATTCTCAAGTCTTTTTAAACAGCGGGCAGATGGTCAGTAATAATTCTGTGCCCTTTAATTGCATTAGAAAATAGCCTTCCTTTAGTGTGGATGGAACAACTTTTCTCAAATTATTATTGTTTGTTGAATTGAAAAACTATTTCGTAGAAAAGCTCCCATTTCCTGTAGATGCTGAGTATCCTTCACTTGCACAGAATTTGGCAAGATGTCGAAGAAGTTCAGCCTATGGCAGAACTAGGTCTATGATTTAATTTGCATCATATGAAGTGAGGAAGTGTAAAGTTTAAGATTCCAAGTGCAGCAAAGGTTAGTCGTGACTTAATTTTATGTGTCTTTTAACACAGTTGGTGAACTATTAACTCTGTGGTATTTCTGTAAAGAAGCAAGGAGTGCTTTTTGTGTACTGAAGCCAAGCTAAAGCCTCTCAGCAGCATTAGTCTCAAAGTCAAGGAATGTGAATATAATCTGTGCAGCTTATTGTCATGTTGCTTTTGATAAAAAGCATGGTGATAACAGAAACACAGTCCGCTACATTCTTTTAAGGATGACTGGAAGCAGAAAACCCTGAGCTTAAAGCATGTACATGGGCAGAACCTTATTTGTATGCTGCCTTTCTCTGAAGCAGTTCTTCTGATGACAGTGTTCAGATCTTGTTTCTATAAGCTCCTAGTTGTTCTAGAGAAACCTTAAAACTAGTAACAGAGTCTCAACCCCAGCACTGTGAACTATTGAAGGGTCAAGTGACATTTCTACTTGTCAGCATTCCCCTATCAAAATGAAAAGGATGCAGCACTCTGAAACAAAACAGTGGAAAGGTTTTTCCCTGGCTTTAGCAGAAGAGATCAAACACTGACAATTCCCAGAGCATTTTCCTCTTACATTGGAGTAGTATGAATGCAAACTGCGGAAAGAGAGGAGGACAGCTGCTTTGGGACCCTTGTTTTCACAGCAGCTGGAATCTAATACGTTTAACTTCTGATTTGTTTCCACTACCTCTGACTTCTCAAGACCAGAGATTAGTATTAAATACTGTCCAGAAGCATAGAATACATCTGCTAGTGCCTTAACAAAAAGGCTTCATTTATTCCCAGAGAAGTAATGAGTTTAAGCCAAAATAGTCTATGGATGTTTTATTTTAACCCTCTCTCTTCCTAGCATTAAAGCTGACAGAACTGTGCCTTCGTAAGGATAGGCCAGCTATTTTGTAAACTATTGATTCAATTTTCATCTCTGTGGTCCCTTAGGTGATACTTTCTGCTCTTGCTTTGTCATTATGTTGTAGGCTGTAAAAAGGCATGAATCTCTTACAAGCATAAACTTGGAGAAGAAAGCTCAATGGAGACAGGAAGCTACTCAAAGTACATCTGCTAAACCTTAGAGGAGGAAACGGAGAGACTAAGGACTGGAGAAGAAAAGCTGATGTCCTTTTCAGCACTGGAAGGAAGATACAGTCACATCTCTCCTGTATGTTAGTTCTGTACTCTCATGTTCAAGAAAGAATGAATACATTATCCTGTAATCATTAAAACAGAAATACCTATTTTCTTTTCCTAACCACCTCTTCTTTCCTCCAAACTGTTGTCCCGTTTCACTAACCGTGAAGACAAGTGAGCAAACTGTATAGACAGAATAGTTGTTTCCATCACATCTGCTATGCACAAGACTAAGCATCTTTTAAAAGACTGCAGGAGCTGTACCTGCATTCGTGGTACCAATCATCTCCTTTATGAAGTCTTACGCTCGCTCTTACCACTTACGAGAAGATAACTGGGACACAAAAGGACAGCCTATTCGGTTTCCATTTGTACATCTATACTTGTACAAACAAAATACCTTCGCTGGGCAGTCATCCGCTATCACTGACTATTTCACGTCCCTTCAGGAAGAATGGTGCTGTATGTATTCTGTATTGTTACACGCTGCCTAAAATACTCCATACGTTGCTCTTTGTGTAAGAGAGAACAATTATTAGGGGAGTCCTCGAGTCAGGAATAATTGTATGACCTGTACTAACATCATCAAAATGATCGTAAGTTATTAGAAAGTCTGCTTACGTGTTTGAGGTCCAGTATGTTCTGGCTGCATTTAAGTAAGTGAGGATTACTTTTTGTGAAGAACTGCCTAAAAACAGAAGGGGGAGTGGTAGTGAAATGGCATTCCAGAGAACCAGTGTGATGCTGATGACAACCTAATGGTTTTTACACCAGAGCTGGTAGTGAGATGAGAGAATGTCCAAGCCAAGGGAATAGAGACAAGTGTTTTGAGGAATACCGAGCAACAGCTTCAACCTATGCTATCAGATTTACTATTTAGAGGCACGTGAGTATGAGAAAGACAATCAGGCATTCCTGCTCTCTGCTGCTGAGCTCTTTTTTCCAAACCTCATTTGGATTTATGTTTTTCCACCCTTTAAATTGTCATCTGTGCTTTCCTGATACTAGCTCACTTAAAGATCATTTGCTTCAAGTTTTAGAAGCAGCAGACCCAGTAATACCTGCAAAGAGCAACTCCCAACAGTCCCATTTCTGACATTCATCCCAGAAGAGTCACATCCTGTTCATGCTGAACAGCCTGCTGCAACTGGAGACTAGTATTTTTCCTCCTCCTTTCAGTTCATTTGGAAGGAAGTGTAGATTGGGACTGTTAGGACTGTTCGGAACTGTTACTTCCCAGGACTGCCTGCTAACTGGCCGCTGGGGACACCACAAACAGAACAGGCAGATGTGTTTGAGATTTAGTTTGTGAACTTCCTGATAGTGGGAGGCAGATTTTTTTTTTTTTTTAACTTTTTCCTATTTTTCTTGTACTACTAAAAATTAGGCCTATTGCTGAAAAACATTAAAAACCCTACTAAAAAACGCAGGGTAAATCTTGTCTTTATACCTGGAAAAGAGAAGCAGTAAGATACCTAGTACAGTCTTCTCTAGTACTTTGTCCTTTCCTCTAAAGCTAGAAAATAACTGCTGCAGTCCACCTTTTTATGAATTGCATTTCTGGGTACCACTTGTATTGATGAGATGAAACCAATCAAACAAGCTGTGCAGTCATTCCACCACAAAGCTATAAACTTCAGATGATGCCATGACCTGTTATCTGATTCTCTGTAGGACAATTATCACAAGTATGCTGTCAATCAGAGCAGGCTTCTACAGATTTGTCCACTCATTTAGCACTGAATGTAAGTCATGCTTAATTCCACTGCAGGTATGTGAACAGATCTTTCATGACAGCTCTGGTTCTTTGCCACACTAGTAAGTGCACAGGTGGGAACCAAAAAATCTTCCCAGATTGTGTGCATGTGCTCATTTATGTATTAAATGAGACCAAAAAGGAGAACATGCACTTCAGACAGTATTTCAGGTTACCATGAAGAGAAACTTGTGATTTGGTCCATGCTTTGTGATGGCAGAGCTTAAAACCATGCATCTCTCAAAAATATCCCCCTTTCAATAAGCACCTCCGAGTGCACTCTGTGAAGAGGACTGGCAGGTGCCTCATCTAGTTTTGGAAATAAAGCTACTTTACCAGCTGGATGAGTCAAAGCATTTCAAATAAAAATCTGTAAAACAGACTCATCCAGCTGGTAAAGCATTTCAAATAAAAATCTGTAAAACAACACTTGGAAAGCAACACCCCAGAGCAGCAACGGTCACCAGTTTTTCATTTTACTTAAATTTCTATAATTTTTTTGAGTTTACTCAAAAATTGAACTCTGGTCCAGTGGTTTGACAGAAGCTCCAAGTAGAAGTCCTTCCTTCTATCACTTTGGTACCTCCACCATTTCAGGATCTACCATAAAACCTGTGCATCGCTGTGCACATTTGTGTTTTCTTTCAGCTTCCACGTCAGTTCCAGAGTCTCAAATAAGAGCCTGAGCCACTGGGCTTTGTGCTGTCTCCAGCTTGCTCCCAAACATTTGCAAGTAGCTGGGTACTAGAAAAATGATATAAATCTTTCTCAGGGAGGCAATGAAAGAAACCACCTCTTTCCTGGTGTGGTGGCTTCCAAGAAAGCACTTCTAAATACAATGGTTAAAAAACAGCACACATTTCTGGCCTAAGCTGCCAATCTAGCCGACTGGAGAACTTAATACACCTTGTATCACTCAATTACCTCGTAGCTTTAGCCAACACCCTTTTAACAGTGCCTGATGGAGAAGAACATACTAAGCCCTTAGAACAGTTTTTAATTTTCTTTGTCCCCTTTGGCTTGGTCTGCACCACCATTCACATTTATTCAAAAAAGTCAAATTATCAATCCTATACTATGTGCCATATTGCTGTACCACCTGTTCCAGAGGCAAAAGGTACTTCCCAATGCAACGATCAATCTGACAACTTGAACACTGCCTCAAAAGAGCATGCAGGCTCACCATGGACATGGCCACAGCAGTACATAAAGAGGTCCTGTTTATTTTCCTACTAAGACTCAGGCATCTGAAGAAAGACCTTCATGTCTACTGGCTAAAATTGGCATGGGAAAGTACTAATGATGTGTTGTGCCAATCCCAGAAGCAAAGATATCATACGGGAAGACATGGGGAATCACTTAAAGCTGGCACAGAGGTAAAACAGCTGTTCTGGAAATCCTCGGGGAAGCACAGAGGTGCATTACCAGGAGCACTGTCACATTTAGGACTGGGTGGTGGGGTTTGGTTCTTAATAGTCTCAGCGCTGATAGTTACAGAAATGCAGGTTCAAGCACATGTAGGTTTTCCAGGGTGAGTGCCTTCCTCCCCTCTTAAGACTAAGTGAAGGGACTTTGACCACCAGTAGTTGGTTGGCATCAAGGAAGCAACACAGGAATTTAAGAACTGGCTGAAGTCCCTAGGCAGCAGTTCCCTCAAATGATTGTTTGCGTGTGTGCTGTCTTCACAGGAGCCCCAAGCACTGGTCCTGGCCTAGTGAGCTTTCAATAACCTTCTGCCCCATCATCTGTTGCATCCTCCTGAATCCAAGAGAGTGACCCTGCCTGCCACGTTCCACCCGGGAACTTTACCAATAGAAAGAATACCTCCTGTTTGCTGCCTCAACAAATATGCAACACTTAAAAGGCATTACAGGTCCGTGACAGGACGGCTAGATAACAATTCCTGGTAGTCCCACATCTTCCTTTCTCTAACGCCCAGTTTAAAATTAGACTTTGTTAAAACCTTAATGTAGTAGTTTCACCTCATTACTGATACTGCAAGAAGAACTCAGAGATTCCTGTTTCTCATTAATCTTTTCACCTTACCAGCTTGTGGGGCTTTTGGAAGGTGCTTAGATTGGATCTCCACGAGCAGACAGAAACAAATGCGTTAATTTCAATTTTCAGCATAAGGGAAGAAGAAAATACACAAGATCACTTTTCTGGCACTACACACTGTGTGGCAGAGCTAAGAGAAGAACCCAAGAACCCCAACGGCTCCCTGGCATATCCTCTACACGAGACCACGCTGCCTCCTACTTACACACAAAACAAGAACAGATCATTCAAACACACTGTGACCTTCGCAAAAGTGGAAGCTAGAGGCGTTCTCTTAGAGTTCCTGTTTGAGCAGCAGCACATCCTTCAGGAAAGCAAATACTGGTTTCAATGTTTCTAGCAGGGGACATAACCCTTATTACTCTCATGTCAGTCTGAAAAAGTGCCTCGTTTCTCATCTGAGTGGAACTTAAAACCTTTTTACAGTCATTGCTGTTCCCGATTTTTAGCATCCATTTTTAACTGCTGATAGCAACACTGAGAGGGTTCCTGTAAAAAAGAGTTTCACCAATGCCAAATATAAAGTTAATATAAATTCCCCATTTCTACCAAAGATTTCTTTTTGTACCTGTGAGCATTACACTTAGCCACACAGAATCGTGTTAGGAAGTAGTGTTCAAGCAATAACGGATAATGATCCTCATACTCTTTCAGTGGCACTTTTCCTCTGAAACAGAGTCCTTCACCTGTGGCCTGAATGTTATTTATTAGATGGGTAACGTTACACTACATGTTTGGCTCTATTAAAATGCGAATAGTTTACTTGCCCTTGGCTTACCAAGTAATTCTGATCAGTCTGTATCAGTGAGCTGTTCCTTTCATAATTCACAAGTCTGATCTCCCTTCCATACTCGTATAATTTGCAGCCTTTGTTAGAAGTAGATTTTGTTTCTTTACAACCTATCAATAAAGCTAAGTAAAGCAAGGCCAAGAACTGGCTGCTGGGAGATCCTAATGGAAATACACTCACAATTAAGCACCATTTAAAATTAAATTGAGACCTATGAGTTAGCCACATTTTAATCCATTTAATGTGTGCCACGTTGGTTTTTGTATTGTTTTAGTTTTCAGTCAAAATATTATGCAGTACCAGTCAAATGCCTTACACAGTCTAAGTATATATGACAACAATATTACCTGTGTCAACCAGGCCTGTCACTTCAAACAAACATACCAAGTTTAAAGATTTATACTTATCTGCTCTGAATTCACATATCCACAGCAAAAGTAACAAACACTGGCCAGGCTCCTTACACAGGAAGGCACACCATTCAGCTTAAATGGACTCTTTTTTAATTCACTCATTTAGAGGCAATTGTCATTATTTTCTTGGGGGGCAGGGGAGGGAAACGCCAACGCACCACATTGTTTTCACTAGCCTGGAAGAGAAAACACTTATATATATAGATATATAGATATATAGATATGTATATATATACACACATAAATATGTGTGTATATATATACACACGTGTGTGTGTATATATGTATATATACACACTAGTGTATATATACACAGAATATACATATATGAATATACAGAATATATGCACACACACTTTGCTCAGATTTGTTTACAAAATATGTAGCATTTTTATACCATCCAATAAGAGGTACATGATTTTAAACAAATCTTATAGAAATGACATGTTATTGGAAATTTACACGTAAAAAAATCCAGCACAAAAAAATCCAAAAGCTAAAACCACATAAATATGTGTATATATATACACACGTGTGTGTGTATATATGTATATATACACACTAGTGTATATATACACAGAATATACATATATGAATATACAGAATATATGCACACACACTTTGCTCAGATTTGTTTACAAAATATGTAGCATTTTTATACCATCCAATAAGAGGTACATGATTTTAAACAAATCTTATAGAAATGACATGTTATTGGAAATTTACACGTAAAAAAATCCAGCACAAAAAAATCCAAAAGCTAAAACAAGATTTTGCTACTAATCAGTGCTTCTATCACCCTTCAAGAAAAGAGAAACACAGTTATTTATATGTGATGTAAAGGCAACATTGAGGGGTTTTTTGCTTTTTTTAAATTAACCACCAAATGTAACCCCCTAAAATTACAAAGAATCAAAGTCCATTTACAGATCAAGTGCAGTAAACTAAATGTTCCTTCAGCACAAAGCAGCACTAGAGAAAATAACTGGGAGAGGGAAGGTGGAGGCCAACTGGCTTAGCTAGGGAGGCAGCAGGTGGCTTCTGCAATGGCCACACAGGTCAGAGTCTCCATCCTGAAGCACAGACAGAACTGAAGACTGTATTTAAATAATGGTCACACAGAGCTGATGTTCAGGCCTTTGCCTAGCTTCTTTCAGCAGTTTGACAAGTGATTGATATATTTTTATTATTCTGTATCCAATGGGCTGTTTTTGCTTTTGCAGTGGCTTGTCACTGACAGCAGTCATAAGGAGGATCTTGCAGACAGTTCTGCCACTGACATTTACCACAGGTACATGACACTGCAGTTATCAGCGGTGATTTTGAAATGTTTACACTGGACAAATGTGTGTTCCGAGCATCCAAAATGGCTTGAAAGAACATACGATGCAGGGGGGAGCGGACGGCCTGGAGAATCCATTGCATTTACAGAAATGGAACTGCCACTTTCAATCACGTGGCATCCCCCCAGTTGTGTGAAGAGTTTGGTGTCAATGTCAGCTGAACTCAGTGAGGAGTGGCTGGCCTTTGCATCAGATGTCTGTGATCCAAGCAGGTTGCGGAGCCAAGAACATGCTGCTAGCAGAAGGGCAGTCTACAGCTGCGGATGACAGCTGTCATGCAGTCAGCAATGCCTTATAGATGTCACCTGTAGGAACCATGCGTTCCACGCTAATTCACCTGAAGTCCCGTAAACAGCAAAAGGAAAAAATGAAATGAAAGGGCCAGGCAGATCCAGGTGTAATATAACTATCCTTTGAATGTAGTGTCATTTCAGTTGTTAAATAAGGGGCTTGACCAGGAGGACTCTATTTTATCAGGTGAGCTGGAGAGGAAGCTCTTGTCTTGTGAAAATGAAAAGGAGATCTTAGCTCCTTGTGCTAAATTTTACAAATTAAGATTTCTGTATTCAGAAGATAATTTATCAGAAGAGAAATCTGTTCAAGTCACGCTCTGTAAAAACGTAAAGAGGCAGACAGGAATTTTTCAGCCATAACTATAATACCAAGGACCAGACTCTGGAGCATGAAGTTAGGAAGGGCTTGATTTTTAAGGAAGGCCCAGCTGGATCATACTGTGCTGGCAAGCAGAAGTGAGGGTAGTTCTCCATTCTAGAAGCTGGTTTGGAAAGTCATTTCTGGGGAGGTGGTAAGAGTGACCTATTCACAGGCTCTTTTCTTGTGGATGGAGAGGAAAGACTGGGAAGGTATACAAATCTCCACAGTGGTCTGCAATCCAGCTTGGGAGCTCAGTGTTGAGAAGGGATGGGGCCAGATGTGTTCAGTATTCTTAAGAACCAGACAACGCGTCCATTGGAGCCTGTTGTTGCAGGGGATAGAGAACTTATTCCATTATTTGTAACATGTTCTATATGCCAATGACCCCAGCTGGCACATACAGCAAAGATACATTGCATGTGAAGATTTAACGCATCTCTCAGCCATCCAAAGACGCATCCAGGGAAGATTATGGGGAATTAACTCAGCTACGTTCTCAGAAAGTCTGAATGTCTCCCTGGACTGCAGGCACACGCTGCAGCAAATACATGAGAAAGGCAGCCTTATCTTGGATGCCAGGAGTGTGGGGGCTAGTGGAAGAGGGATTATTTTCCTGTAATAGGAGCAGGGAATATCTCAAAGTATAGAAAGGTGCCTCAACTCCACAAAGATGACAGTGGAGAGGTTCAGAATCTAGAGGAGAAGGGCGATTCTGGCGACCCCTTGCCAAGCAGGGGGCATCCTGCCACGGAGAGCCAAAAGTTTTCCAGATGTATGTAAGAGCATGTGCACAAGGCAAGCGAATGAGCGCAAACAGGGTTATGGAAAACATTGAGAGAATCACTCCACGGGTGGCTTGTGGCTCGACAACAGGATTGGCTAGGTAGAGGAGCACACAGCACAGGGGCACCTCAGAGCTGGAAGCCTTCCATGGGAGCCTCACACTGCTGGAAGATGTACTGTTGCTGGCTGAGATCCACCTGTGGGGCAATGCTGCTGTCTTCATCCTCTGTTCCAAAGTAGTGCTCAATCAGATCAAAGGCCTTCTGATAAATCTCTTGATTCTCATGGCTCTGCAGGAATTCAATCTTGTCCAGGCCTGCAGGGAAAAGAAGTACATAAAAGTTACAGCTCGGTGGAAGCATATGACCATGATCATTTTCAGTCTGTTGTGAACATCAAGTTCCATGACAATTCTCTCCCACCTTCAGAAAGAACAGGTCCCACTATGGAGACCCTTACCCAACTTGTACTCTCCACACCCAAGGAAAAACAGGTTGAACTACAGAGTTCCCTGTAACTGTGTGATGTGTTTCATAGTTTCTGCTGCCTCTACCCTCTCACTCAAAAAATGAAATCAACAAGCTTGAATGTGTAAAGAACAAGGCCTCAAAGACTTTTTCTGAAGAGACCTTTAGGACCATGTTTCCTGAAAGTGTGTCCACGGTGCTTTGTTTACAAGGACCATGACTACAGAATCACGTAACTGCAAGTTGGAAGAGACTTCTGGTAATCATCTAGTCCAACCTGCAGTCCAGCCCAGCACTACTACCAACACCAGATTAGGTCAGCTGTGTCTAGCCAAGTCTTCAAAACTTCCAAGGATGAAGACTCCATCATCTAATGTGTATCGTGTATATACAATGCAGTTAAACTCATGCAACCAGTTTTTGGGCAGACATTAAGCAGGTGGGCAAACTCAGGCCTTGTAGTCAGAAACAAATGAAAATAATACAGCAAGCTAAACTATCTCTGATACCTAGGAATGATGCTGTAATGAAATCCAAGTCTTAGCCACTCTAGTAAATCTCTAATATTGGGAATTGTAGTGGCTTTCTTGTCTGCTCCTTTTACTATGTATGAAAACTACAGGAAACAATTCTCTGATACTCTATAGACATTTCTGCAACACTGATAGGAAAAGGGAAGTTAAAACCTAGAATCAGACAAGAAAAAAATCCTGTTCTGATATAACTCTTCCGTGGAAGTCAAGGGAACCATGGTGCAAGAAACCATGTTCAGTGATACTATCCCTCTTCTATCCTGCTCTTGATAACCCATTTTTATTTTTCTTAATAAGTACTTGCCAATTGACAAGGAAACTAACCTTAAGAGCAGCAGTAGCTCAGAACTGGGATGAAATTATGCTGGTACATGCCAGAATCTCAGCACAGCAAAGGCAAACAAGGAAGTTGCTGCTGCTGCCATAATTCTACAGGGCAGCAGAGCGGGAAGGGAAAGGCTTGAAACCTGAGTGACAAAGCAGTGCACCTGAACTTTTGAACACTGTGGAAGGAAGATACTGAGGCTGAATGACACCCAGAGGGCTCCCTCAGGGTCAAAAGAAATTAAGAAAAGAAGATCTGTACACACTATCTCCAATCTACGTACAAAGATAATGTAAAAGATGGAGTACATTGGTAAATGGAGACTTGTCAAAGAACAGTTAATTTTCAGGTAATAGTGATGAGGAATTTAATAGAATTTGGTCTACTGAAACTCTGATCAGTTCGTGACCATTGCTTTAACCCCTGACTTCCACAGATGTTTTGCTCATACCATATGCTTCTTCAATAAGAGCACAGTAAGGATTAATGCCAGTGCCACTGCGTTTGGACTCCTGCTCTCCAAGCCTCAGGATGTTCTCCAGCCCATTCAGTGCTACTTGCACAATCTTTGAGTCCATTACTGTAAGGAGGTCGCAGAGTGGTTTGATGCATCCCAGTTCTACTAAATACCTGAAAAACACCACATGGAACCCAGTAAATTGTCTGCAAAATTATAACCGGTGAAGCCATTTAAGTACTTAGCGTGAAGGTCTAAGAACCAAAACAATCAGCTAAAATATCAACTCAACTGGAGAAACTGGAGAAATTATAGATATTAAGAATAATATAGATATGAAATAATAATTTAATTTTGTAATGTACATTTATAATTCTATAACTATAATTTATATATTACTATAAAGGGTATTGATTTGATTTAATATGTTTATAATTTTATTATTTTATACAAAATTGCATATAAGCATAATGTACCAGTATAATTTAAACAGGAAAAACAATGCCCTTGTCTGAGGGGCTGAGCTATTCCTCTCCAGACTGCTAATCCATTTTGTTACACTCTACAATGACCACTAAGAAATGAGTTTAAAAGTTGCATTTAGTTTTTTCACATAAGAGAAATGGTTCAATTAATGAAGTAAGTATTACAGCTGAAATACTTATGTGATTTCTCCCTAAAGGAATGAATGGCTCATTCACAACTCAATACAAAGACGTGGTCTCTCTGGATACAAACACTGGAATCATACAGAAACGTTTTCCAGTTTCTAGGTTATTAGTTTGATTTCTTGTACAAACACTAATTCACTCAATTGCATTGAAAGATTTGAACTATTTCATACTTGATCTGTTCAGCAGAGCCTCCAGATGTCGCATTTGTGATTGCCCAAGCAGCTTCCTTCCTTGTCCGAAACTCAGCCGTTTGCAAAATATTTATAAGAGCTGGAAAGATATGGGCATCTATGACTGTCTGCAAAAAGAAAGAACATGTCAGGGTTATAATGAAAATTAGAAGTAAATTCCTTGTCTTGAGCTGGTTAATGTCTATGCTTAGCACAACACATTAAACAATGAAACGTTAACTTATCAAGGGGCAAAAATCAGTTTTCAGCTTTACATTCAAACCCTAGATATCACCGGCGTCTGTGCTTATCCCAAAAGAATTCAAAACACGGTCAGATGGAAGTGACTGCCATATCTAATGCGTTACTTAATCATACCTTGACAGCAAAAGAATGCCATACTTCCCTTATTTTTCCAGGTAGTGAGCCACTCAGCTATTAAGTCAGTAAACCACTAAGTCATTAAGATCCCCTAAACAGAGAAAAAACTTCATAAGCCTGCGTGTCATACGACATTTCCACTGGGTGAGACAACAGAGCAAAGAGAGACAGTATTGCAAGAACTCCTCAAAACAAGCAAGCACCACTATATTCTTTCCTGGTGAAAAGACAGAGCAATGGATGGTTCGGTAGTATGGTTAACTGCTTAGCTCACCAAACTGATGTAAGTCAAATGAGTTAAATACTCAGCTCAAAGTTTCTAGTAACTTCCTCTGGAAAGAGCCTTTTGCAATAAGGCACAAATGAAACCAGTTTAGTTACGCTAAGGATCTGAAACACTTTCATAAGGATCATTCAAAGAAGCAAGAGCTTAGGATTACATTTTTAAACTACCGTTTTAGAAATATATGTCATCACAGAACTGGTAAAGGCAAATTCAAAGAAAGCCAAAGAGATCCTTCTCAAGGAGCTCCACAGAAGAAAACTAACAGATTACATACAGCAAAAAGCTATAGTCAGTTCACGGTGTGGACTGACCCAGTGAAAAAAAACAACTGTTTGATACCTCTTTTACCCTTCCTGTTTGTATGGGCATCCACACTGCATCTACTTTGTAAATCCATACCACATATCAGTTGTATCAGAAGTCCCACGAACACTGTCTCCTTTGCCACAGAATCTGCACTGCACAGCAATTTGGGGCCCTCAAGGAAAACCACTTACACTTCCATCATGCCATGTTGTATTAAATTTGTACTTTGCAAAGAATATTTGGCGAAAAGTCCTTAACTGAAATTTTTGAACATGAATGCTGGAAGTGGTAGGTCATAAACAGGAGCCAGCTATTTAAAAAACCACAAAAGAAAATATCTTCAGAAAACAGGATGGATTTTCCCCCCGACATATTTTACTGGGGAAAAAAACACTTAATGTTTAAAAATATACAAAAGCAACACACTGTAAGAGTACGTGGAACGCAAGAGCATCTGCTTCATTAAGGTTATCAGATCAAGGACCTTTTCAGCTCAAAGGGAGATATAAATAACAGGAAAGCAATAAATAAAACACAGGGTGACACAAACCTGATAGACAAGGGATAAGAGAGACACAATCACAAAGAGAGAAAGTCTCCAGTCACTAATTAATGGGCCATTAAGAAACTACAGGCACGGCTTTGCAGAGAACCAGCCTGGACTTTGTAACTGGTAAGACAGGGACATGTGGGACTGTGCAAAACTTAATAACAAATCTTTTCTTAACTATCTTACCATGTCACCTCCCTCTCTAGCCTGCATGAGTGCTGTAAAGATTAGGTGCTAGCAACTGAGACCAGCGTGAGTGAATTTGGGCCAGAAACTAAATCAGACCTCAGGAGAAACCCCTGTGTCTGTGGGGCCAGCAACTGGAGTGCGTGGGGGTCTCAGCATCAGTAGCTAGAGGGGCCATGGGCTAGGTAGCATGTTTCTGGGGTACCCAGAAAGGGTGAATTCAGGGCCAGCAACTGATGTCAGACCCTGGGTGAAGGGGCCCCTGCAACTGGAGCAGGTGAGGTCCCAGCATCAGCCAGTGGGGAAGGTTCACAGTCCATAGGGCCTGTGTGCCTGGATGCCAGCTACTCGGGGGACTGGGGTGAAGTTGAGTGAGGGTCTTGGCACCTCAGCTGGAGTGGGACTGCAGGTCACAGGACCCATGTGCCTGGGCACCAGCTCCGTGGGGTGGGAGGATTTACATTTTCCCGAAATGTGGTGGTGGGAGTGGAGGAGCACAGTATACATAATTTGCTGGCAAACTTCAAGCTGGACTAGGTGGCAAGTACGAGGCCCAGGATCCAGGCATGGACAGAAGGCCTGTGCTGATATTCAAGGGATCTGCAGTTGTGGGGATGCTTGAGACAAATGTGTGCATCTGTTTGCTAGCAAGAATCAAGCTGGACTAGCTCATGAGTAGGAGACAAGTACAGTGAGTTAAGAGAGCTCAGGATCCAGGCATGGACAGCACACGGGCAGAGAGCCCACACTGATATTCAAGAGATCTGTGAATGGATCATAGGGCACACGGGCCCTATGGACTGTGAACCTTCCCCACTGGCTGATGCTGGGACCCTCACCTGCTCCAGTTGCAGGGGCCCCTTCACCCAAGGTTTGACACCAGTTGCTGGCCCTGAATTCACCCTTTCTGGGTACCCAAGAAACATGCTGCCTAGCCCACGGCCCCTCTAGCTACTGATGCTGAGACCCCCACCCGCTCCAGTTGCTGGCCCCACAGACACAGGGGTTTCAGGAAGACCAAGCAGATGAGGCCCCTCTATAGACAGGCTGGAGCAGCCCCACGCTCACAAGCCCTGGTCCTCATGGGGGACTTTAACCACCCCGACATCTGTTGGAGGGACAACACGGCAGGGCATAAGCAATCCAAGAGGTTCCTGGAATGCGTCGATGATAACTTCCTTTTCCAAGTGATAGAGGAGCCAACGAGGAGAGGTGCTGTGCTGGACCTTGTTCTCA